TTTCGTACACTTGGTTTTTTTCTTTTTATAGAAGAGCCGTCGCTTCACACGTGTAATACACTGGTGGAAATCAATATCCGTTTTACCTACATTAAAAAAAAGAGAGATTCACACATATTTTACATAGGGTTTTTGTTGATGAGGGAAAACTAAAATGACCAATCTGGCATCCATCACACAAAACCTGGACTGAAGCATGCACAAAATTCTCTAGACCAGAAAAATCAAGCTTTAGGGCTGTGGGCCAAAAGCAAACATTGCACTGCATTCAAATATATTATACTAAAATATATTACATTTAAAATAAATAATGAAACACAAATTTAAATGTTTGGATTGAATATTGAATGCATAATGGTACTCTTGTGAACGCACGTCGATTAACACGGAAGAGAAGAAATTGTTGAATAAAGTCGTTACTTTTTGTTTTCTTTGCGCACAAAAAGTATTCTCGTAGCTTCATAAAATTACAGTTGAAACACTGATGTCACATGGAACATTTTAACGACGTCCTTACTACCTTTCTGGTCTTTGAACGTGACAATTACATTGCTGTCTATGCAGGGTCAGAAAGCTGTCGGATTTCATCAAAAATATCTGAATTTGTGTTCTGAAGATGAACAAAGGTATTACAGGTTTGGAACGACATGCGGGTGACTAATTAATGACAGAATTTTCATTTTTGGGTGAACTATCCCTTTAACATAGGAAAAACGGAAGTTAACACATACTCATCTCCATCATATAACTTGCGTCCAGCTCCAGCAGGGCCCGATACTGGCCACCCAGAGAGCCCTCTTCCATGTAGTGTGTGCCATAACGCTGTATAAAGAATCGATAGGCTGATGGGTCATACGTGCTGGGCAGGGCCGACAGATCCTTCCAGAAGTCTTCAGATAGAGGGAGGTACTGAGGAGCATTGTTCTGGAACTGAGCCACCTCTACCTCATTTCTTATTATCAGCAGATGATAGGTCTTTAAGACAGAAAGAACAGCATTTTAAATATAATACAATCAAATATTTGTAGCCTTTTTTACTATTTAATATGCTGAATCCATTGTTACCTTGTCCTGTTTCAATTCGTTATGAAAGGTTTTATGATCATGACCTCCTCTAATTTTTTTCCTTTCCTCTTCATGCCTCATGTAGGACCAGGAACTGTCGTAGTACTCGTCAGTGAAGTCATTTTCAACACTGACCTGAAAGGAAATAATAGAAACTGTTTATATTAAACAGTCAAACCAAAAATTATTCAGACACAAAATATAATTTTTTATATTTTTTTTACTAGTGGGTGCAGGACACTGTAGTTCATTTATGTAACTGAGGATAGGAAAAAAAAGTGAACTGTGACATATTATACCCAAAAATTCTTCATACAGTGGACTACCAGTAAAACTGATAAAAATTTCGGACCAAAAATTATTCAGACACTTTGACCTGACCATGTTTTGCTTAAGTGTTTTTTTCTTTAATTGCTAATGCGAACTTTTTACACCACAGACTGAACAAAGCTAAAGGGATAGTTCACCCCAAAATGAAAATTCTGTCATTAATTACTCACCCTCATGTCGTTCCAAACCCATAAGACCTTCGTTCATCTTCAGAACACAAATGAAGATATTTTTGATGAAATCTGAGAGCTTTCTGACCCTCCATAGACTGCAAGGGTCCTTCCATGATCAAGGCACAGAAACACAGTAAGGACATCGATAAAATGGTCCATGTGACTTCGTAATTTTACGAAGCTACGAGCTAATTTTATGAAGCTACTTTTTGTGTGCAAAGAAAACAAAATAACTACTTTATTCAACAATTCGTCTCTCCGCATCACACTAGCGCCATATTGGTCTGAACGTAAACAACGTATACTCATACTTTGATCTGAACATAAACGACGTATGCACGTGCTGTTGACACAGAACACATACATTGTTTACATTCAGATCAAAGCAAGCGTGTGCGTTGTTTACGCTCAGATAAAAATGGTGCTATAGGGTGACGTGGAGAGACGAATTGTTGAATAAAGTAGATATTTTTGTTTTCTTTGTGCACAAAACGTATTCTCGTAGCTTCATAAAATTACGGTTGAACCACTGATGTCACATGGACCATTTTATCGATGTCCTTACTATGTTTCTGTGCCTTGATCGTGGAAGGACCCTTGCTGTCTATGGCAGGGTCAGAGAGCTCTCGGATTTCATCAACAATATCTTAATTTTTGTTCCGAAGATGAACGAAGGTCTTATGGGTTTGGAACAACATGAGGGTGAGTAAGTAATGACATTTTCATTTTTGGGTGAACTAACCCTTTAAGCATTGCTTGGTAATTGGTTGACCTAAATTGGTATTATATAATTGTGTACTTAAATTTAACAGTTGAATACTTTTTGGTTGATTGTAATCCAATACATACCTTTCTATCAAAGTTATCTGACATTATCAAGATGAATTTGTTCAGACACAGTTTAACTGAGTTCTTGTCATATTTTATTACCATTTTCTAAACTATAGCGAATAAACTGTGATAATGTGAGAAATGTTGAAGGTGTCTGAATAAATTTAGGTTTGACTGTAATATCCTAGCTACCGTTATAATAAAGAGATGGGCCTAAAATTAAATTTTCACCTGAAAGCTATATCTGAGCAGACTCTGTGGAACTCTGTAGAAATCTCTGTGATCTCCACTGAAGACTTTCTTGCACTGCCCACCAAAGTTACGAGTGTTAATGACACCGGCTCTCAGCTCACCCGTCAACACATCAAACCTAAAGGACGCCAAATATTACATATTGTATTATACCATTAATTTAACAATGGTTTATACTGAGTGTAAAAGCCGTATTTTACCCTCTTCCTGTGAGGTCAGAGTTGGGCGGTGGCTTTTGCCCATTACACACTACAGTGCCACTGCCACTACAGCGCTGCTCATCTAAACCATCTTCACAGTCATGATCCCCATTGCACACCAGAGACGGATTTATGCACTGACCTATAAATAAACAAACCAATGAAAACTGTAAACTGACTGTAAACTGTCGTCACAAATTTAATATCATAATACCCAGAACGACTTACCAGATGTGCAGCGAAACCTGTTTCCGCATCCTGCCTGTAGGGGGCAGCTTTTCTTAGGTGAACAAACCTGCCTCTGGATAGCCTCGCCTGTACAAGAGCTGCCTCCAAACTGAGGGAACGTCTCTACGGGACGCATTCGAACCTGAGAGAAAACCCCATTAGAAGGTCTATCATTCAGTTGTGGCCAGTAGCAATTATACTCTCTAAACCTGCTTCAAATAAAGCTGTGTTTATTTGCTTACCTGTGTCTTGGTACAGCCGTCACACTCTGACCAGTCCCCATACGGTCCCCACCTGCAGTTTACCGGCTGTTCACACCTTGCATAACAAAAACGTGCCAGGTTAATAGACGCAAAATATCAAAAATTATTTATTAACAACCGAATAAAATCTAGGTTGTATGCAGCACTCACCAAATACAAGGCAGAAACGCGAGGAGAATTAATAAAGAGGCTCTAGCAGCTGGGCACATCTGAAAACATCAGTGTTATTTTATTATTTATTTTATTTCAGTTTTACTAGTAATTTTGATTACTTAATTTACTAACCAGTTTATCTCAGTTAGTTAAGGCAATATTTCTAGTGTTCGTTTAAGTCCAAAGGCCCGTTCACCATGATAACTACAACGATAACTTTAAAGAAAGATAGTTCCATATAACGTTAGTTCTAAAATCCGTTCTAAATGTAAAAGAATAGCAGATGCACACCATAGCTATAACGAAACAAAGGAACACTATGCTTGGAATAATTTTCAGAACGATTTTGTTTTCCAGCTGATGAACGATAAAAACATTGACAACCAATCAGAATCCACTTGACTTTAAAAAGCCCGAACATTTAAAGCGACAGACAACAAAACTACAGAGCTCTTTTTTTATAATAGGCATAACTTTATCTTGCGTTGGTGTGGACGGTAATACTATCGTTCTCTTTATCGTTTCGTTCTTGGTGTGAACGGGATTTCAATTTTATTTTATTTTACGTCAATTCCAACAACAACACTGGAATCTAGCCTTGACTACCATGCCATGCTTTTTATTCTCTACATCTGCAATTCATTCCTTCATTTAAAGCGACAGACAACAAAACTACAGAGCTCTTTTTTTATAATAGGCATAACTTTATCTTGCGTTGGTGTGGACGGTAATACTATCGTTCTCTTTATCGTTTCGTTCTTGGTGTGAACGGGATTTCAATTTTATTTTATTTTACTTCAATTCCAACAACAACACTGGAATCTAGCCTTGACTACCATGCCATGCTTTTTATTCTCTACATCTGCAATTAATTCCTTACCTTAGCTTTTTGTGTGAACAACTTCTTACCTTAATGCTGTGGATGCTGTAGACTAGACAGATTGCGCGTTTTGGTAGATGCAGTGATGGGCCTGCTCATATAAAGGAGCTTTTACAGGGATTATGAAATCATTCTGCTTTGGACAGGAATTCCCAGCATGACTCAGCTGAGGGACCGCCAGTGCTGGCTTGTTTTCCCTCACACTGACTTTGCCAGTTTATATTTCATCTCTGGGATTACTGTGTCAGTTTCACAATCTGGTCTTTAAATTGGTAAATTCCAGTAAACAGTGTATGCATGTTGTTTTTGTTTCTGTCATTTGACAAAATCATGGGGTTCATTAAGTAGGCCTATTGTAAGGAAGATGGTGAAATAGTGTTTTGTCCCAAACCCTGTGGAACACATAGACCTCTGTCTTTAGAGAGTTGTGCAATGTTTGTTTTTCAGGTCGATGACCAATCACAGAGTGACACTAGGGTCAAAACTTGTACTGAGTAGAGATCCACTGAATGCTCTGTTTCTATGTGTCACAATAAAGCTTTGTTCATTGATTTGGTCTATTTACAGTATATTGGGTTGCATCTTAACAGTAATGAAATGACTACGCTGACAAAGCAACAAAAAATTAAAAACAAACATTACGCCAACATTTATTTTAAACTGTGGCAAGAACGAATGAATCAGTATCAAGTTTAAGTAGCGCAGCTGCATTACATTATTCTGTGCTGATTAGCTTGCAAAAATCATTGCAAAAAAAACAACCATTAAAATATTTGATTAAAATAAGTTTCAGTACATCATAATGTTTAACAATATTATTACTAAAATATTTAATATTAAATCTATTCAGATTCCATTGCTCTTCATCACTTGTGTTAAAATTATGTATTCAGAGACAATATAGTCTGACGGTGTCTTAAACCTTACCTGTGAGGTTTTTCACTCTTGGAGAGTTACTATGTTCTAGTATTGTATATGTTTCAAGCAAGTTGTAATTAACATGGTGAGAAGAGTCATGCATCTATTTAACAATGAATTCTGTATTTATGCCACATCCAAAAAAGCAAAGAATTGTTCAAATGAAGGCAGTCGAGTCCTCTCTCTTGCTCTGGTCCTGTATACTGGCAGAAGGCCGCCAATATAAATCCTCAGTATTATCTCATATCTGCTGCATCGGTCGTAAGTCTTTTGACACCTGAAAAATACCGGAATGACTTAACTGATATATTGTGCACTTATACACAAAACTTTCCCACAAATATTAGATCTAAAGGAAAGTGTGAAAGACATAATAGTGGCTGGTTTCTTCCGAAGTACAACGTTTTAACAGCTCATAATCTTGTTTACTGGACTGAATCATTTTAATTGCATATAACTTTTCAGCACAGACACTACTGAAGTAACAATCAACAATCATGACTAACACAGTCCCAGAATAAGGATAATGTTGTTTTAGTTTATTTGTGCACAGTCTAGTCTCACCTCAAACTCTGTCCCAGTGCATGCTTTGATGTCATCTGGTGTCAGTCCTTCCCAAATCTCAATGAGAGTTAAACCCTTGCTCTTATCGACATCAAACACCGCCTAGAACAAGTGGCAACAAACATCACACTGTCCTTGAAAAGGTGCAAGATATGTTATGTTTCTCTGAAATAAATTTTACTGACCTTTTCAGTGATTATACGGTCAACACACTGTTTTCCAGTCAGAGGAAGTGTGCACTTCTCTAAGATTTTATGTTTCCCACCCTTTAAATGTAAAAAAATTAAATTTTACACAGAGTGATAGGAAATGTTAAAACATAATGACTGTAAGTGAGAGTGTAAAGATTATTGTACCTTGGCAGAATGTTCCATAGTGATAACTACTTTTGTGGCATCACTAGACACCAGGTCCATTGCGCCACCCATGCCCTTCACCATTTTACCCTGAGAAACACATGAAACATGTCAAACCAGGCAAGTGAAAACATACTGCATGTCTATCAGTGATGATACAAAAATACAGAGCATGGAACTCATACTGGAATCATCCAGTTGGCCAGATCTCCATACTTAGAAACTTGCATTGCTCCCAGCATGGTCAGGTCAATATGACCTCTAAAAAAGGGTATAAAAGGTGAAGAAGTTGAAGTGAAAGAAAAATAGGGGGAACAACATCAAAAATGTTCCATAAAATGTACCCCAAAAGCTGCACGTCTCAATTCTCACGCTAAAAATTCTAATTTCACAAAGAAAAATAGGGGGAACAACATCAAAAATGTTCCATAAAATGTACCCCAAAAGCTGCACATGTCTCAATTATCACGCTAAAAATTCTAATTTCAAGTGCAGTTGGATGTATTTAGTTTAATCATAAATGACCGATGCATTCAGACACTCACCCTCTGATCATGGCAAAGGATTCATCGCTGGAGAAATAGGCAGCTCCTGGATAAACTGTTACCGTCTCCTTACCTGAACACACACAAAAGGGCCAAGACCTGAGTTGTAAAGCAGGATTTTAGAATTATTTTATATTATTTAATAATCACAATATATTACTTACATAACAAATATATTTATATAATGTATATCATATATATTATTATTAAGATGATGCTGTGTGTAATGTGTACATTATGTGCATACTGTGCATAGCAAGCATACTATGTATTCTGAACACCTTCATATTGTTTTTTAGTCATTACTTGGCAGCAATGTTGGTGGATCTCGCACTGAAGATTTTTACTCACTGCTACACTTGTATATGCGGAGTAGTAACAATTTTATTAACAGAACATCAAATATGATCAAATATAGTGATAAAGAGATCTGCACCAGCATTGATTAAATCAGGATCCACTTCATTCTCTGTTGGATAGGGACCCTAAAAGTAAAATAAAAGAGGGGATTGGAAATCGAAAAGTGAAAATTCATTAGCCGGAAAATTACTTGCTCAGGTTATTTAATAACGGAAACTCACCAATCCCAAAATTCCATTCTCACTCTGCAAGTGGACAGTGATTTTAGGGCTAATGTAATTGCTGGCCAGCATAGGGATTCCAATGCCAAGATTTGCTGGGAGGGTTGTCAAGGTGTGTGGGAACAGGATAGTTAGAAACTTGTACTTTTCAATATCTATCATGTTGATGGTGATATCTGTGGTCAGGCTACTGAAGGATACCTACCATACATCCCATCCTCAAACTCCAGTGCGGCTCGTCGGATGATTCTCTCCCGGGTAATATCTGAGTCCTGTTTGACTTTAGGTTTCTCTTCCGTGCTAGACTGAACCAGCCTTTTCTATAAACAAAAGAAATCCTGAACATGACCTACACATTCTTGTAAAGTTAAATGTGTACAAAATAAACAATATGGTGACAATAAGGAAATAAACAGCTCTACATTTTTCAGATTTTCTCACCTCAATTCGTTTTTCATAGCTGGCTCCTTGCACTACCCGGTCTACATATATGGAAGGGATGTGAATGTCTTCAGGACCAAAACTTCCAATATCAACAATCTCCTCAACCTGTGCACCAAAGTAAGTCATTTTCTTTTTTTATTTTGTGGGACCTCAAACATGACGATAGAAAATGTCAAAGCCACAAATTGAAAGGTCACACACCTCCACTATTGTAACCTTGGCTGCTTTACACATAGGCTGGTTGAAATTACGAGTTGTTTTCCTGTTAAAAAATTATTATGTTCAGCAAAGGTAAATAAAAGTTTAGTAATTACATGAATACTGATAATTCTAGAAACAAAGAATCGTGGATGGCTACACAGATAAAGCCTGACACCTAGTGGACAATCTAGGGTAAGTAGGATCTTGATTTTGAGAAAAGTAAGATATTGAAAAATAAAATAATTTAAAAAGACAAATGGTGTTAAAGTGTCATAAATTAAATCATTTTAATACATTAACAATCTCCTCAACCTGTGCACCAAAGTAAGTCATTTTCTTTTTTTATTTTGTGGGACCTCAAACATGACGATAGAAAATGTCAAAGCCACAAATTGAAAGGTCACACACCTCCACTATTGTAACCTTGGCTGCTTTACACATAGGCTGGTTGAAATTACGAGTTGTTTTCCTGTTAAAAAATTATTATGTTCAGCAAAGGTAAATAAAAGTTTAGTAATTACATGAATACTGATAATTCTAGAAACAAAGAATCGTGGATGGCTACACAGATAAAGCCTGACACCTAGTGGACAATCTAGGGTAAGTAGGATCTTGATTTTGAGAAAAGTAAGATATTGAAAAATAAAATAATTTAAAAAGACAAATGGTGTTATTAAAGTGTCATAAATTAAATAATTTTAATACATTAACTTCTTGACCTGAAAATAAGATTTCCTGCTTTGTCACATTTCCAGGCCTTTATCAAAGCAAAGTCGCCCCTGATGGCTTTTTCCATGACATAATGTCTGCCATTAAACTCTCGAACCTGGACCAAACAATCAAAGGACAAGAATTTATATATGTATGTCATTTTTTTCTGAGGGTGAAAAAAATAGCAAAAACCATCAACAAGTTTTAACAGTGATTATGCCTCATCACACCTCTCTGCTTTCACTTGCAATAGCAATGCTGCCAACTTTGTTGTATTTTATGGGTGATCCACCCTCCTGGATGAGAGTGCCATACCCGGTGGGAGTAAAAAATGCTGGGATGCCTGCACCGCCAGCCCGTATCCTCTCTGCTAGTGTGCCCTGGGATAGAATCAAATCAATCAAACAGTATTTAATGTCAATGTGAATTGATTTTTAATTTTTTTTATTTTTTGCAACCCATGGTTGTAACGTTTCTGAGTGAAAAAGATATTCAGTGTTGAATTTTGAAGATTGTTTGTATTGTGGGTGTTACACACAGCGAATCTGAATGCATGTTTGATAAAGCAGTACCTAAACAGCTATCTGGCTATTGGTATCCAACTAATATTGAATATTCTTAAAATTTTGGCAACTTTGGTTTTGGCAAGATTCGCTCAAAGTTCGCTCCAGTAATAGCATGTTCATTCAAAGTTATCTGGTCTTTAATAATGTTCTCAAAATGTTAACACAAAAACATTATTTATACATAGTTCTACATTTATACATTTTTATGAAACGTAAATAGGGTTGGGTAAATAGGGTAATTTGATACTGACTTTAAAGTTAAATTTAAAAAAGAAAAAATTAGCCAAACTAGACATGGAGAATGTAAACTGCAATGAGTTAAATAATCTACCTGAGGAGTAAGCTCTAATTCCAGCTCGCCTGATAGATATTGTCTCTCAAACTCAGCGTTTTCCCCAACGTATGAAGATATCATGCGTTTTATCTGTTTGGTTTTCAGAAGCATGCCCAGGCCAAAGTTATCAACCCTGTCATCAGAAACAATCATGTAGTTAGTTAGTCACACACACAAGAAAACACATTATACACTGCTGTTCCTTCAAGCCTCGATTCTTAAGGGCCCCCTTCCCTTTTTCCCTCTTTCTTGCCCCTTGACCCCATCAGACTATTTCCCAGTCTTTTTTTTGTGTTTAAGAGTACATGACAGGAACCCGTTGTAAACATCCCATTGAGTTGGTCCACATTAGGGAATTCTCTGGAAACACTCTGTCCCTTCGCTGCCTTTACTGACATGTTAATTAGAGATCTCTCTCACCCAGCATTGTTGCTCACGGCTGTGATGTCTTTTACTCCTGTTTTCAACAGGCCGCTGATTAAATTCTCCGGGATCCCACACAAACCAAAGCCTGAGACAGAAAAGGGGGAAATTAAGCACACACAGTGATACCGCTTGGGGACACATTATGTTCTATACAGCAAAGGAAATACCACTTAGCTGTATGAACTACTTATCAGATAGGACTGCATCCTAGCTGTGCAGAACTACATGTATAGAGGCCACATTCAGCGGGCACATGCTTTGATATGGCATAAGTTCCTCCTTATACCTCCGACAAGAAGCATGGAGCCATTAGGAATGTCTCTGACGGCCTCTGTGGGGTCCGAATAAAAACACGCACTCCATGACTGGGAAGTTGATAAATGAGAGCAGTTGAATTCCTGTGGAGTAATGTGACAGGGAGAGCATGGCATAGTTTTAGGCACAATTAAAGTGAAAATGCTTGTTCCCAGCTAACAAAGAACATTCTCGGAACTAATGTTCTGACAAGGTTCTCTCAAAGTTATGAACAAACATTCTTTCAGTAATGTTAACAATAAAATGTTCATTCAGAGTTATCTGATGGTTAATAATGTTCTCAAAACATTAGCACAACAACATTCTTTATACATAATTCATAGAACATTTTATTTCTGAAATGTTTTAGTTGGACCTTCATCTAAATGTTTTTTAATAATTGTTTTTAAGAGTACATTCACATGAATGTTTCATAATGTTTGCAAAATTATAAAATGGAATGTTTCCTTAACTTTCTCATGACTAAATAAAATAATAATAATACAAAGTTCAGAAAAGATTTTTTATAAAAAATGTTCAGAAATAACATTTTCAAAACATAATGGAAACGTTTGCAAGACATTCTTCTAACATGGTTATTTTATGGGTTTCTCTTCTTTAATGAAAGCATCTTTACAGTGAAATTCTATTAAAAATAAAACACTAGGCACTATAAAAAATATAATATAAAAAATAAAACACTATCTGTTGATGCTCACAGTGATGTAAATATAGCTGTTTGCTTTAGGCTTAAGCTCTTTGAAGAGAAGTTCAAAGCAAACAACAACGCATTCGGAAGTCAGAAGTGAATTATATGAAATCACACATGTTTATTTGAATGTCTTATTAGAGCTTTTAAAATAAATGGATTAATAAAATGCAGAAAATCAATGCATATTGTGATTTTGATTATGCAAAATTAAATGTGCAGAATGCCAAGCTTCATGCGTCACAAACAACCTGACAGCGCAATGTGGACACGTGGACATATACTGATATTCTGTGCAAACATCATTGCTGTTCAAACAATGAATCAATACAGTGGAATTTGTTTATTTTAAAGCTTATTTTACATTGTTATTTGAAACTTTATTTTAATCTGTTCCTTTGTATATGGAAAATATATAACTTTACAAAGCTATTTGTTTGAATGACTGATTTGCATCTTTATTTGTGATAACTGATTAGGGAACAAAAAATCTTTAGAAACAAAGATTATTCAAGGATAGTCATATATTTATTTTAGTCCCTTAAAATATTACATTAAATACTCCTAAACAAATAAATAAACGTTTCAAATTTCAAATTATTTGTCTGAAACCTAAAATAATGCAGTTATATTAACAGTTTTTTACTTAATGGACCCTAAATGTAACTGTTACTTACCTTACCATGACGATAAACATGTCCCTGTGGTTTTAATGATATTAGTCTGCCTCTGAGAAGAGTATCTGACCTAGATAGTAATCTCTGAAAAGACATTTTCAGAACAACTTAAACTTTTTACAGGAAAGTAATCACTGTCTACTACAGAACCTGGATCAATCCTGCTCTGTTTTAAAATAGGGCAAAGGGCGGGTTTTTGGGGGGTTTAGGGCAGTTTGAAGAGTACTTTTGTACTGTGTCATTATAGATCATGTCAACCCTTCTTTAAAAAGTCCACTTCTTTAAAAGTCTACATCCAAAATACAGCAACTGAATCAACAACCCTCCCAGAGTCCATGATGTCAGTAAGTACCCAACGTGAGGTCGCACTATGTAGAGGGAAGAAGTTATAAGAGTTATAAGAGCACACTTAATCAAATTTGACATGTCATGCAAAACTATAGAAGACCAGGGTTAAAGGTCTTTCCATTTTGAGAAGTCTGACAGCTGTTGAGAAATTTCCAGACTACCACAATAACAATCGGAGTGAAACGGACACTGGACACCACAGACACATGGTTGAGTTAATGACCTAAGATATGCTGTGTGTCTGTCATCCTGAGATTTATGAGAGTTTAAGAGTGGATCATGAAACGTTCCTCTAAATGTATACAATTATGATTCTGGAAATGACCCTGTTTTGAGATTTATAATTAATAGTAAGCTTGAATGTCTCCAGGAACCCAAACATACAACAACAGACATAAAAAATGGGTTTGTACGTTTTGGTTAAACTCAGAGATAAGTTTAATATTTATAACACCTTTTAAATGTTATCTTAGCTTCTCAAATACATGAAATACATGAACATGAGCCTTACCACACTAAAATTCCAATGTCATGATTTTTGTATTAGCTGCTGGATAAACAGGCGAACACATCAACTAAGTTTTTCATAATGATAAATTTAATTTCATTAATTTCAGGTTAGGCATGTGTTTTATGTGATGCAGCTTTTTAAAAATACAATTTCTGTATATAACCTTCCCATTTTTTTTCTTTTTATGTTTCGTAATTATTTTAGTGTTTAAACGTTAGCCTGTGACAGACCTGTGATAACTTTAAATAAAAAATAAAATCTTGATTTTCATGGCCATTCACTACTAATGTTCAATAGCGTTTTTGTAGTCAAAATGACTTTTCACTGTAGTAAAAAGTGTAACAACTAACAAAAGCCCAACTTTTGAATTCTCCACTTTGCCCCACAAACTTTTCTACTACACAGTTGTTCTTGTTGAATCTTAATGGTAGTTTTGCAGCCTACTGCTGCAAGACCCCTAAAACACGTGCCCTACTCCAGTCACATGTACCAATTCAGCTCTGCATTGTTTATCATAAATGTAAGCGCCTATATGTGGAGTGCAAAGCACCACAAAACCTGCCAATAGCTATTAAAAAATGAGAATGAATTCCATGGCTTTGTGAAAACCCAATTACACAGCTCTGAAAATGACTTTCTATATCTGTAGTTTATATCTACAGAAGAATATCTTCTAATGTCTTTAGAAGAAATTAATCTCTCTCTTTTTTTTTTTTATATATATATATATTCCGCTATATTCTTATAACAGCGCGCGATTAGATTAGCACACAGGCGAACGGTGGTGTAGAAAAATAACGTGCGTGCCATTTTTCCTAAAGGCTAGTTGTGGGAAAACACTATGACGCTTGTTAGGGCGGAGTCCCACGTACATTTATTTTTTCGCATGCGAAACTCTACACGCAGTAAACCGATTAAGAGTGTCTTGCTTTATAAGGTTTACTTTTAAGCTCCCTACGCAGGGTGCTTCATAGAAAAGTGGCGCCTTTCTTCGAATGTGCCCTAGAAAAAAAAACTAGTACGGAATGCTGGAGCCAGATATCCAGTGTGGGTAAACTGAGGTCCTGTCACAACCACAGGACACGTTTTAAGCAAAGCTGTAGAAGAGAAAAGTGGGCTCATTTATTATGCTTTTTCTAAACCGTTGATAGAAGATATAAATTTAACCAAGGTGTGCTACTATAATACCAAGAAGCCAAGCTTCCCTGAGGAATACTTTCATAGAAGTTAAGGATCTACAAATCTGAATCGCACCGCACTCTTGGAAAAGGTGAGTTAAGTGTAGTGAGACAAACGTGGGATTTATTCTGTATCTTTTCGATTTAAGCAGCGGTTGCTGTTGTGGAAGAGTAACATTATGAATTTTATTTTTTAAAGGCAAAACTAAATACATATAATACAGATGTATCATGTAAACTTTAAAAAAATAATGCATGCATTTTTAATGCATGTTCTGTATTTCCGTTTGGAACACTTATTTGTTTACGTTTATCATGATGTTTATGCGTGCAATTTAAGGATTAGGATTGTGCAACAGTTGTAACTAGGATTAGGTTTACCTGACAGTTGAAAAGTTTTCACCACATATCGTGGCCAGATGTGGAGGATTAGGCTATATTCAAAATGTTTTTAGTTAAAGGGGTCATATGATGCGATTTCAAGTTTTCCTTTCTCTTTGGAGTGTTACAAGCTGTTCGTGAATAGAAAAGATCCCTAAAGTTGCAAAGACTAAAGTCTCAAACCCAAAGAGATATTCTTTATAAAAGTTAAGACTCGTCCACGCCCTCCTAAAACGCCTGGTTCAAACACGCCCCCACATGTCTACGTCACGATGTGGGAAGATTTGCATAACACCGCCCAAATGTTCATGCAAAGAAAGAAGCCATAACTTTATTGTAGCTGCCACCGCCGCCGCCATGTTGTGAAGACGCTATGTGTTTCGTTGCGAAAGCGAAAATACTTTGTTTGGCCTTCCAAAAGAGGACAAGACTAGAAATCAGTGGTTAAGTTGTATTTACAACACTGTTCCAGAACAGTTCAACCCAAATATACAGAGTGTGCAGCGCATTTTATGGAGGACTGTTTCCTGATCCTGGTAGAGTAGACTACAATGCCGGCTGTTCTGACTCACAGTCTGCAAGTACGTTTTCATTTAAAGGATTTGCCACTGATGATTCAAAACACGAGTCCGATCACAAATGCAAATGCAGACATGGTTTTATGTTTACGCGGCGCGATGCAACGCAATGCGTAAAAAGACAGTATAAGTAATTATAATCCGTAATTATGTCCCCACTGGATGCAACAAATGCCTCGTTTATAATGGGTTTTATTGGCTTTGTCTCATTGCTCCGGGACACGGCATCACAATATTGTAAGGGGCGTAACATTTCCGTCACACGCTTGAGGTATTCGGCCAATCACAACGCACTGGATAGCTGGCCAATCACAGCACACCTCGCTTTTCAGACCGATGAGCTTTGTAAAAATCGATGCGTTTCAGAAAGGCGGGGCATAGAGGAGAAACAATAATGTACAGTATGTGGAAAATAATGTGTTTTTTTAACCTTAAACCGCATAAACACATTTCATTACACCAAATACACAAAATAATGTTATTTTTAGCAACATCATATGACCCCTTTAAATATTGCAGGAGTTAAACTAAATGGCTTCAGTTCTGTCTTCGGCATGATTGTGTGATATTGCTTTTAAACAGTTCTATTATAAAAGTAATTCTTATCGAGTATAGTTTTCAGACACATTCTGCCCATTTAGTTTGTATATTTCTTCTCCGGGAAAATTGTTCCAAAAGAAGCCAACCTTTCAAGCTTTCAGAGTCACCAAGCAACACATAAACTAAAAGCCGGACTGGAATCCGTGAGTGGAGCGGAAGGACAGAGATTTCCACTGCTCCATTTTGAAGGGCTCATACCTATGCCCTAATCTCTTCGAAGGGTTTACCCTCCAAAGTTAGGGATTCAAAGGGTGTAGGGGACCAAAAAACTGTTCCTTGGAACACACATCTGCATCAACTTTCCAATTAAGGAGGCGCTATCATCACACAATTAAACCTACGCAAAGAATCATGGGAGCAAGTTGTCCATCTTTTGTACCCTTCGAAATCCTTCTGGCCACAAAGATGCCAGCTTTGAGCAATTATATTTGCAATGGCCCTTCAGTATGATTGTTCTTACTTCAAAATGCCCTTCGGAGATAGATTTATTACATTTGGAATGCAACGTTCCACTCCCTTGCGGACTAGCTTCAGCTCCATTCTAGAATTTCCAATCCACCCACCCCAAAAACACTGACAGCAATCCTGAAAAAAAAGGTTCAACTTTAAAAACCTGCTACTTGCTGGAGGCAAAATTAGACAACATGACGTTATTTGTGTGAATAAAATACAATGTGATAACTTGCTTGTTCCTCGCTCTAGGCTAACAACTCAAAAAACTGATCTGGAATGCCGTGAACACAAGCGTGGCTACAAATGGAGAAAAAACCCAGTGTACAGAATGTTTAGTGCCACTACATTTATTTGACATGTACTGCTGAAATACTTTAAAGATGGTTGTTTGATTGATACACATGTACTTTACTTACACAACTACTCTTTACAATGTCAGTGGTTCATTGTTTTGTTTTTTTCTTTGATAGATAGTCCCTTGTGGTATTGTGGTGTATAGTTGAACTGTCACGTTAAATAATAAAGGTTCACAGACTCAAATCTCAGACTCCTTTCAGGAAGCTCCATATCAAACACACAGCATTTCTATGATCAACTTCCTAATTATGCGCTTTGTCATTGCAGAACAGGTTGTACCCATTTTATCAAGGACAAAGCCCTTCACCCTCAGTGAGTTTGTTATCTCTGTACTGCTGCACTGGGTGTTAAGGCCATTTAAATCTAATAGAGAAGGGTTGTGATCCGCATACAGCTGAAGTGTAATACAGCAGAGTCAATAGATGGATTTCTGAGAAGATGTTTTCCAGAAACAGATTGGGGAGAAGCCATGTTGCAGTGAGGATATATTTCACAACCACTGGCTAGAGCCTTTGGCTTAAAATGGATGTCAGAGGACTGTGTTTACTGCGATTTCGTAATCCTGTCAGTATCATGGACTGAATGGTTTCTACAATGAAACAAATGAATAATTCGACTTGTTTATTCAAATAGAAAGGGAATGGCCTAACAGTGATTGAACTGAATTAGAGTAAAGACTTATGAGGATTTATGACTATTAGCTCATAAATTAGCTTCCATTTTTCGCAACGTTGATTGTTAAACAATTTCATAATGGACCTTATTTTGGTTTTCACAGGGACTATATCATGGAGACCACCCTTTTC